TTTTGGTCTATTGTGATGCATCGAAGAGGGTCTTGGTGGTGTGGTGATGTAAAGTGGTCAGGTCGTTGCTATGCTTTCAGACAACTAAAGGTTCATGAAAGGAATTATCCTACGCACGACTAAGAGTTGGCAGCCGTGGTTTTTGTGTTAAAAATTTGGAGACAATATCTCTTCGGATCCAAATTTGAAGTGTTTAGTGATCACTTGAATTTAAAGTATTTGTTCGACCTAAAAGCTTTGAATATGAGGTAGAGGAGGTGGCTCGAACTTCTGAAAGATTATGATTTTGAATTAAGTTACCATCTTGGTAAAGCTTATGTTGTAGCTGACGCACTGAGCAGGAAGTCCTTACACATATTGACGCTTATGGTTCGAGAGTTGGAACTGATTGAGCAATTTAGAGATATGGGTTTAGTATGTGAGGAGACTCATGACAGTGTGAAGTTGGGTATGCTGAAGCTGACGAGTGGTATTCTGGAAGGGATAAGAGAAGGTCAGAAAATTGACTTGGGTTTAATCGACTAGTTGCTGTTAATCAACCAAGGAAACAGAGGTGATTTTCGGGTTGATGAGAATGGCATGATGAGGTTCAAATATAGGATGTGTATTCTAGATGTTCCAGAGATTAAGAAGATTGTTCTTGAAGAAGGGAATCAGAGTGGGTTGACTATTCATCCTATTGCTACAAAGATGTATACAATTTTTTTTGGTGGTCGGGTATGAATAAAGATGTTGCAGAATTTATATATGCTTATTTCACTTGCCTGAAGTCAAAGATTGAACATCATTGGCCTTTGGAGCTGATGCAACCGCTGAATATTCCATATTGGAAACAGGATGACATCTCTATGGATTTTGTGTCAGATTTTCCTAAGACTTTAAAAGGTAACGATTCAATTGGTGATAGTGGATCGATTGATTAAATCAACTTATTTCTTATCGATGAAAATCATTTATTCCTTTCAGAAGCTAGTTGAGGTGTATATTTGATGAGATTGTAAGATTGCACGGTATTCCTTCGAGTATTGTGTCAGATAGAGATCTGAGGTTTACATCAAGTCCTTGGAAGGGTTTGCATAAGGCTTTGGGTACTATGTTAAAGTTGAGTTCGGCCTATCATCCCCAAAATATGGTTAGACAAAGAGGACTATCCATTTTTTTAGAAGATTTGCTGAGGGCTTGTGTGTTAGAACAAGGAGTGCTTGGGGTAGCCACTCACCACTGATTGGGTTTACCTACAATAAGAGTTTTTATTCTAGTATTAGAATGGAACCGTATGAGGCATTATATGGTAAGGGGTGTAAGACGCCATTGTATTGGTATAAGTCAGGTGAGATTGTTGTGCTCATACCTGAGATTATGTAGGAGACGACTGAAAAAGTCAAAATGATCCAAGAGAATATGATATCACATCAGAGTTATCAAAAAATTTACCATGATAAGAGGTGGAAAGCGCTTGATTTCCAAGACGGAGATCATGTGTTTTTGCGGGTTACTCTGGTAACTCGTCTTGGTCGAGCTTTGAAGTTTAGAAACCTCACATCGCGTTTTGTTGGTCCGTATAAGATTTTTCAGAGGATATGAGAGGTGGCCTATCATATTTCTTTACCGTCGCCGCTTTCTAATCTTCATAATGTATTTCATGTGTCTCGGTTGAGGTGATACATCCTGGATCTGTCTCATGTGATCCAGGTGGATGATGTACATGTGAGAGATAACCTGACCGTGGAGGCATCACCCATATGAATAGAGAATCAAGAGGTGAAGCAGTTGCGTGGTAAAAAGATCGCTTTGGTGAAGGTAGTGTGGGGAGGACCAGCTGGTGGGAGTATGACTTGGAAGTTTGAGGAGAAGATGAGGGAGCCGTATGTGACTATGTTTTCCTTGAGTAATTTTCAAGGAAGAAAATTTTGTAAGTGGAGGAGAGTTGCAACACCCCGATTTTTTTAGTAGAATTTTTAGTTGTTGAATATTCCTTTTCATGATGTTTTTTTAATTCTTATATGATAGTGGGTTAAATGTTGTTAAGTTGGAAGTGAAGAGAAATATTAGAGAAGAATAAATTAATTGGCTAATATGACAAAATTGATAGTGTATGGGGAATATGATGTTAATAATAATTTTATACTATTATTAAATTAAAATAATAAGGAAAAACACTAATTAGAAGTGTAGAGATATAAGGAGAAATAACGTAATTGTATGAGGATAAGTGATGGTATATGAGGGAAACCATAGAAAGGGTCTAGTGGTACTAGATAAAATGGGAAGATAGAGAGAAGTGAGATATTATTCTGTTAGTATATGAAAAGTTTGGAGAAAATGAGAAAAGGTTAGGGCAATAAGTATCCATCCATTAGAGCTTGAAGAGATTGATATCTAGGAATAACAAGGGAATGGTGTGTAATAGTTTTCAATTATGATTGGTATGATGGAAGGGTAGAGGTAGGCTTTGTGTATGTGTTGGATTAAATGATTATTTGATGAATAATGAATTGTTAAATGATGTTGCAATTGATGATTAATGGTTGAATTGTTGTGTTATTTTTGTTGGAATCGTGTAAGTGATTGTTGTATGTTGTTTATGTTGTTTGTGGTATGTCATCATGAGTCAGAGTCGAAACAAGGTTGTGAGTAATTTTTATAAAAAATATTTAGGGTTTGGGACTTTAGAAAAGTGTTTTTTTCGTGTTAAAATGTGTTCCAAACGATTTATAAGGAAAATTGAGTTTTGGGAGGGTTCAAAAGGGTTTTTCTTGTAAAAAGTTGCAAAAAAAAGTGTTTATGTAACGGGTGTAATCGGTTACATTAAATGCGGTAACTGATTACCATATAAACGTGAAAATTGGATTTTTAGGGGGTGTGGTCAATTATCTGTGATGTGTTCACCGATTACATTGGGAGGAAAAATCATAAGAACTTCAAAAATTCATAGCTTTAGTTCCGGGTGTCCGATTGACGCGTCGTTTGAAGTTGTAGAAAGTTGAGATAACGTACTTTCATTTAAAAATAGTTTCATGTTACTAAAAATAATTTAAATGATATGTAATGATGTTTTAAGGTGTATAATTGTATGTTCCGCTATAATGCCTTGTTGTAAATGATGAAACTTGAGTGTTGTTGCAATGATATGGATATGATGTGAAGTTTATGATGTTGATATGAAGTGATACTGATGATGTTGTTATGATGCGATATTGATGATGTTTTTGTGATAATGTTGTTAATGATGTGCATGTCATAATATATGCACGAGTTGTTTATAATGATTATGTTGACAATGGCATACACGATCATAAAACGGGCCAATGTGTACATGTTGTTGTTGCATGTTATGAGTTATGCATCCAAGTTATCGGAACCTCAGTTTTATTTATGTTGTGGCCTCGATCCTATGGTGGGGATCGGGTGCGAGTAGTTAATTCCTATGGTGAAGAATTAGTGAAGCATTACATATGGAGATGGTAACAAGTTTTAATGAGCCTCGATCCCATTGTGATGAATTGGGTGCAAGTAGTTAACTCCTATTATTGGGAATTAGTGGCGATTTAGGTGTGCTCCAGTTCCAAGAGGGAATCGATCGTATGGTAGGAATCATGGAGTTAAAGGAACCTAAGTGTTCATAATTTGGTACCACATGCATTGAGTTAAATATGTTGCATTAGCATTCTATGCAGCATTACCTAATTTTGTTGGTGTTATATGATGTGCTGATACTTGTGAATGTTATATGATTATATGAGAGCCTTGTGATGAAAGTTGTATATGAGTTACTTATGATTTTTGGGGTGTGAGTTTATGATATGTTGAGGTTGTTTACTTGTTGCAAATAATTGTTGTAATCTATTTTTTCTTATGTCTACTATAATTGATTATGATTAGTCACTCTTTTTGTTTGAATGTTGCCTCCACGTTGGTAACACGCATATACTCAAGAGTAGAATCCCAGGAAGTTTGTGGAAGCTAGCTATTGGAGTTCATTCCATTTTTCGTTTTAAGTAGGAGGGATTCTGCTTTGATTCATGTAACACTGTGTTGGGGTTGACGCTTGTCTTCTTAATTTCTTATGTTTTTTATTTCGAAGTATTTGCTAAAAATTTCATGGTGATATTCTAAGATGTTGAATTAAATGTTGACGAAACATATCCTTTGTGGATGTTATGGAGGTTGGAATTTAAGACTCAATTTTAGTAGTAGAATTATAATTGAAATAATTTATGATGAATCTGCTCAGTTGTTTTTAAAAGAACTTGATGCCGTAAAGACTCATACATGAGTATGTTCAATTTAATATATGTTTTCATGTAACCCGTGTAACGGAGCAGGATCATTGTGATGTTTTATGAAGTGTGGCACCCTTTTGGTTGTGTTTACATGATTAAATTAATCATTAATTTTGTGGTGTTTTTAGAAGGGTATTACACGTCACACAATTCATCTTCTCTTCTGACCAGAGCTATTGTGGTCTTGAAAATATGATTAATCTTATTTTTAACAGAGTCCATCTCTTCTCTAAAGGTGGCTTGCTCTTGTTAAACCTAATTCATCATTCGTCTAGTGTTGGCTTGAGTTGCATACTGGTGTCAAGGAATCAATTTAATTTACTAGAGATGAAGGAAGGTGAAATGAGTTTCTATTTATGGAATGAAATGGAAGATGCACAGCTGTAATACCCAAATTTTTACCCCTAAGATCCCACATTTCATTTGCATTTTTGCATACACAAACAAGACCATACTTTTTGGTTCTCTCAGTGCACTTGTGTTTTCTACTTGCTTTATGTTTATTTCTGTTTACTAACCTCTAACCAAAATATCAAAAATATTTTCCAATTTGTTTGTTTCTTTTTCTTCTCTGTGTGTTTAGGATTTTGCAAGGAGATTAATGGCAAAAACATTTGTCTTCCCATTCTCTTCCTCACTGAGCTCGTCGAAGAATTCGCGTTCTGATCTCCGACGATTGATCTCGACAGAGGCTAGTTCAATCACCAATCTTCAATCATGCCTCTCAGACTCGAAATCAAGCGAAAGCTTGCGCAGAGATCAAGAAGAGTGAAATGTGTGGATCTACATCCAACGGAACCATGGATTCTGGCAAGTTTATACTCTGGAAATGTCTGCATCTGGAATTACCAATCTCAGACCATGGCCAAATCCTTCGAGGTCACTGAGTTACCAGTTAGATCAGCCAAGTTTGTGGCACGCAAATAGTGGGTTGTTGCTGGAGTTGATGATATGTTTATTCGTGTATATAATTACAACACAATGGATAAAGTCAAAGTATTTGAAGCACATACAGATTACATCAGGTGTGTGTCAATTCATCCTACCCTTCCTTATGTTCTGTCATCATCTGATGACATGCTCATAAAGCTTTGGGATTTGAAAAAAAAGGCTGGATTTGTACCCAGATATTTAAAGGACATTCTCATTATGTTATGCAAGTGACATTTAATCCTAAAGACACAAACACCTTTGCCAGTGCGTCTCTTGATCGTACTATAAAGATTTGGAATCTTGGCTCTCCTGATCCTAATTTTACATTGGATGCGCACCAGAAAGGAGTGAATTGCGTTGATTACTTTACAGGCGGCGCCAAACCTTATCTAATTACTGGTTCTGATGATCACACTGCCAAGGTATGGGATTATCAGACCAAAAGTTGTGTCCAGACTCTAGATGGTCACACCCACAATGTATCTGCCGTATGCTTTCATCCTGAACTTCCTATTATCATTACTGGCTCCGAGGATGGTACAGTCCGCATTTGGCATTCAACAACTTATAGGCTTGAGAACACATTGAACTATGGTCTCGAAAGAGTTTGGGCTATTGGATACCTGAAGGGTTCACGTCGGGTTGTGATTGGTTATGATGAAGGAACTATAATGGTTAAACTTGGCCAAGAAGAACCTGTAGCTAGCATGGACAATAGCGGGAAGGTCATTTGGGCTAAGCATAATGAGATTCAAACTGTCAATATAAGGAGTGTTGGAGCAGATGTGGAGATTGCTGATGGGGAAAGGTTATCCTTGGCTGTTAAGGAGTTGGGCACCTGTGATCTCTATCCACAAAGTTTAAGGCACAATCCGAATGGGAGGTTTGTTTTTGTTTGTGGGGATGGTGAATTTATTATATATACTGCCTTGGCATGGAGAAATAGATCATTTGGTTCAGCTCTGGAAATTGTTTGGTCTTCGGATGGAGAGTATGCTGTAAGAGAAAGTACTTCAAAGATTAAAATTTTCAGCAAAACTTTCCAGGAAAAGAAGAGCATCCGACCGACTTTTTCAGCAGAACGAATATTTGGTGGTACTGTATTGGCAATGTGCTCAAATGATTTTATCTGCTTTTATGATTGGGCTGAATGCAGATTGATTAGGCGCATTGATGTGAATGTGAAAACCCTCTACTAGGCTGATAGCGGTGATCTAGTGGCGATTGCTAGTGATGCATCATTCTACATTCTAAAGTATAATCGTGATGTTGTTTCATCATGTTTAGATAGCGGGGGAGTTTGTTCATCATCTCTTGGTGCATGTAGCATGGAAGCCTCTGATGTCATGCCCATCAATAGTTCAGATCACCATGAGCTTAAAAGGATGAAGCATGTTGGCGCTGCTTCTGTTGATGAAAAGGAAGACCTTGAAGCCCAAATAGTTGAGGAAGCAGACATTTCTCTTCCTGTTGGATTTTCGAAATTGGAAGTTGATCTTTGTCCTGTTGCTGGTATCAAAAATAAAAAATCCGACAGTACTGGACACATACTATGCGAGACAGACAACATCTGTCAGCATAATTTGGAAATTAGTGCTACTGAAAGTATTGGTGAACCTCAAGAAATACTAAGTGGTATGGTTGATCACGAGTGCACAAAAGAGGCTACTGTTGTTGCTGTTCTATGTGAATCAAATGAGAAACAAGGTGATGAGGTTACTGTTTCTTTTATTAAGGATGGTAAGGTGGCAATACAAGAGCATCATGACAAGCCATACTCGAAATTATCAGGTTCCATATCGTCTTCTGTTTCAGATCCTCACAATGAGTTGCATGAGACTGGAGGTTGTCCTGCCAATCCTTCATATAATAAGTGTGGACTATCTGCCACATTTGGTAGCCCTCTTGAAACTGAAAAGGGTGTGAATATTAAGCCTACCGGTAATATGAACACACCAGTTTTTGAGTTTGTAAATAAGGATGCAAGAAACACATCATCTTCTGATCATGATCACAAGGGAAATGATGTATCTACAGAAGGGAAAAGCGTAGCTCTTGATGTAGATCTAGTGGAAAATTCGTCCAAAAAAAAGATGTTACAGATATGACCCCAATAGGAGCAAAAGCTGGTGGGAGGGGTTCGTTTCCTGTTATTGCAGCCGACAAAGAATCAGTGGTTGTAGCAGAATCTTCGCTGGCTTCTGAATTAGGTACCCCCAAATCGAATGTAGCTAGATTTGTACCTCATGGAAGTCCACAAATACCTGATGAAGATATTACTTACTGGAAGCAGAAGGTAAATCTTGAATCAAGCACTCAGATGGCAACTCCAGTTCCTAAATATATAGATGGCGGTGAAACCATTGTTAATGGATATGGGTTGATTGGCTGGGAAAGAGATGTCAGATCTGATGTTCAAGGCAGTGCTGGTACTAATACAGAAAAATTACCACCACCAAAGGGAGATCATAAAATGGTACCTCTCTGTCAACGTCTTATAGCTGCTTTAATATCAGAGGAAGATCAAAGTGGCGGAAATGAAGATTTCAAATTTGACACATTTGATACTGAATCCGAGCCTGATGGAGAATTAGAATTGAATGGATTGAATCAACGCTCATTAACCAAAATTCAGTATTTGCTTGTCATTCTGCTTATAATGGTTATGGGATTACTGGGAGACCAGACACTACAGAATTTTAGTTGGATGTGCCATGCTGTTGGGTCATATAAAAATGAGAGCTGCTGCTTTTTCAGCTGATGGTTTTGTGCTTGCAATTACAGCAGACACTGTTATTACATTGTGGGATCCTGACAAGAATGAGCTCATTGTTGTTGTAGGAGAGAACTGGTTCATTATTGATGATAACAACAAGAGCGGGACTTCGGAGACGGTTGTACTGAACATGTCTACACTGGCTTGTTAAACAGTAACATCAGTTCAAGGGCATGTCTCTATCGCTAGTGAAGGTTTGAGTTTGGTTGTAAGTTCGAATGACGGCGAAGATTAACTGATACAAAATCTCATTCTGAATCATCTGATATGTGCTGTGAAAGTGATACACAGCAAAAATGCAAAATTGAACAAACTTGCTAGTACAATTTCAAAAGCAGATAAAGTGGAGAATTGGATTGCACATGACCTGCTCAAACATATTGTTGGAAGAATTGTGATTGAGAAAGGATGCTGCCGAATTGGATTTGATTTGGATTTTGATGAGAAAGATAGTAGTTATGATAGAATCAAAAGCTTGAAAACTTTGCGTCTGCAGCTGATGAAATTCAAACGAAGAGTATCGCTGAGTTTAGAAAAGCTTATGAGGAGCAGTCAAGATTTGATGCAGAGAAACTTATAGCTGATATGACTAGTTTAGTATCAAATCACATTTGTCGTCAAATTGATCTGGTAGATACAAAACTCGGGGATCTTAGAAAAAATGGCATTGCTGGAAAGTCAATTTTGGATGAACATGTATCATCAATGGGAGATATTCTGTCTTTTCTGAAGAGAAACTCTGCAGTGGCAAATCCAACAGTTGAAGGGTCAACTATCATTTCTGACAAAGAATAAAGTTTTTCCACCATTGGTATCAAATTTGGAGCCAAATTCTGATAGTTGTAGGTTCAGCGAAGCATCAGAAGAACACGCTCCTCTCAACAAGCGTTGCAAATCTTAGGAAGAGTCCTTCGCTGTTAGATTTGATTCAAGCGAAGCTCTCTCAAGGGGATAAGGTTGTTTCAAGATTGGAGGCACATCTGAGGGCCATGGGGCAGTTCACGGTTATTGCAAACATGAGAGGAAGTAGTGCAGAAGAAGTGGCTGAGAGAATACTGAGACAACCATCATTATCTGGGCTGCAGGGGCCCACTATAAGTCCAGTTTTCAGCAAGCGCGACGGAAAGGTAGCAGCAGACTACTATGCCATAACCATATGTATGCCCAAGAAGGCATTGTACAAGTCTATTCAACAATTGAGAGAGATTGGAGGCAGCAGAGTTCTTGTATCACCTTTGACCTATTATTTTGATGAAGAAACTCCTAGATACCGTCAGCTCCTTTCTAAACTTGGGCGTTAGTCATACATGTGCTCCATTTATGGAGTTGTTTTGTTGTTTGCCCACCTCAGAAAGATAATATAAAATGCTGAAAACTGTAGAAAACTGAAATGAAAGAATTCTGCATGCTTAAAATTTTGTAGCAAGCCAGTAGTTTCTTTAATTAATTCTCTCTGTAATAATACTTGGAGTTATAAGTGGTGGTGAGAAGCAGCGTGTTGCCCTTGCTCGAGCATTTTTAAAAGTACCTGTAATACTGTTGTGCGATGAAGCTACAAGTGCTCTTGACAGCACAACAGAAGCAGAGATTTTAAGTGCATTGAAGTCAGTATCAAAGAATCGAACTTCCATATTCATTGCACACATGCTCACCACTGCAATGCAGTGTGATGAGATTATTGTTTTGGAAAATGGAAAGGTGGTTGAGCATGGACCACATGAAATGCTCTTAGAAAATGCAGGAAGATGTGCGCAGCTTTGGGGACAACAAAATAACTCTATTGATACAATTGACGCAGCCATCAAATTGGGAGCATAAAATTAATAGAGATCATCTTGCTTTCTCTTCAAGAGTCGGGAAGAAATGCATTGCATAGCATGTAATTTAAAGTATTTTGAGGTTTAGTGATACAGTGCCGATTATAAGCTCTCTTCAGCACGAGTATCACACTCCTTCTTGTTGGTTTATGCAGCAGGACACATCAATTTGTTATAATGGTGGATTTGAAAGAGTTATACATAATTTATTGGTGTTCAAAGGCACACATCAGTGTTAGATAAATGAAGTTGGTAAGTCTGTTCCCGGCTCAGCTTGTTTGTGAAAGACGTAGGAATGCCGCATCTTGGTTTTAATGATTGCACATCAATTGCGGCGTGGAAGCTTCAATATTATCAATAGAAAATGGCGACGTCAAGAAGCGGCAGAAAATAGAATTCTG